TCAGGTCAGTGGCCATGGACGGCCAGGTTTACGACAACAAAGTCAGATTGTAATGTGTGTGTATGTGTGTGTGTGTGTGTGTGTGTGTGTGTGTGTGTGTGTGTGTGTGTGTGTGTGTGTGTGTGTGTGTTTTATGAATTTAGAATTCACATGTTGATGCACAGAAGTGAGAATGTGTTATGTGCATTAGGATATTTTCCTTTATACCCTCGGTGTAATTGCGGTCGATGTTGTCGTTGTTATTGTTGGTGGTGATGGTGATGGTGATGGAGTTGGTGATGGTGAAGGTGATGGTGATAGTGTTGATCTTGCTATTGCTGTTGCTGTTATTGTTATTGTTGTTTGTCATTTCTATTGTGTTTGTCAGTGAGGTTTCGTCGTGGAGAGTCTTCTCCCCATCTTCAGAACCTCCGCCATATCTGGTTCTGTAGCACGAATTATGCTTATTTTATAGTTCTCTGAGCGTTTTTCTTACTCCGAACCCGCCCGTACTTGGGGTCGTGCACTGACCTTTTTAAGAGAGGAAGTTGGTGCTTTGTTTTTTTTTATACGTTTGTCTGTTAGAACAACCTTTTGTGAAATTCTTCGCTTGGAAATTCTAAAGGTTTGATGTCTGATGTTTGTATTTTTTTCCAGCTTGCAGAGTCATCTTATTGGCTGGTTTTATATTTCTTTTGGTGTTTTGATATCCGAAGCATATATACTTACACGGCTATTTGAAACAGTACCATGATTTAGTGCCCTCGGCTACCGTTTTATGGTTTTATTCAGTCATGATTTGGTCAGTTTCTGAAACCCCGCGATCATGGGGTCAAGTATACCAGCGTCGTAGTGGAATTTTTGGTTCAGATCTTACCACTCCAGGGACTCGTTCATTTATTCCAGGATAATTCTGTTTTGCGAACCATCGTCGGCGTCAGTAAGCATGTCCCCGGTCTGTTGTTTGTAGAGAATAACCCTTTTTTCGTAATCGCTGTCCGCCTTTGTAGAATTCTTCGAAGCTTGGGATTACCAGTGTAATTATATCCTTTATTTTCTAAAATAATTAATTAGTATTATTATTTCGTCTTTTCGTTTTGTTTTGTTTTGTTTTTCCCGTGTACGCATTATTTGTTTAGTTATTTTTCGTATTTTGATTTATCGTTTTGGTTATTGGTATCTATTCATCATTCAATTCCTCGTTTCGTTCCGTCTAACGCCATTACCGCTCCGGACGTCTGCGAACCTAAATCCCTTTTTATCTACTTATTAGTATTATTTTTCGCCTTTTTATCCATTATTTTTAGTTTCGTCCTTTAAGTCAATATTCAGTTTCTTGCTATCCACTCATATCCAATTCCTTGTTTCGTTCCATCTACTTTTACTCGTTTGCTAGCATTATTCTTTCGCCTGTTTACCAATTATATATATTTTCGACTCTTAATTCAACATTTCTTCTCGTTATCCACTCATATTCATTGTTCCTCGTTATCCACTCATATTCAATTCCTCATTTCGTTACATCTACTTTTACTCGTTTGTTAGCATTATATCTCGCTTTTTTTACCCATCATAATTGTTTTAGTCTTTTAATCCTGCATTCTTCTTCCCGTTATCTTCTCATATTCCATTCCTTATTTCGTTCCGTCTAACTGCAAAGCACCATTACATTCCGGACGTCAGCTCTTCACTTCTCGATTTCCATTGTTCTTAACGGTATTTCCTCTTTCACGTGTTTTCGTCTTCCCGGAAATCCTCTCTACGTCAAGTTTTCTTCAGCCATGTTCGATAGGTCGATAATTCTTATCTAGTTTTGATTATTCTGCTTTTCTCTTGGTATATTCCGTAGAACAGTAGCGAGTTGTTCTTTTTAATTTTTTTCATCGTCTTTATCAGTCTCTGTGTCGTGCTTTCTCTTCTTTGGGGAAAATGTGTTGGCTTTGGTAGTATGCTCATTCTTTGGTCCAACTTCGTCATGCTGCATATAGCCTCTGCTCTATCCGTAGCATTATGATATCATAAACCTCTCATTATCATTCATATATAGCTTCTATTCCTTCGATATCTTTTCTGACTTCGTTCACTGACTCATTTCTTTCTCTTAAACATACTGCCACAATGGGTTATTCATCTGTATTTTCCTCAGTTCGTTTTTAAAATTTCCCTTAGAATTCAGTATGTAAAGTATATGTAAATCACAGATGTATTGCTCAGCACTTTAGACATGGGGATACACAGAGCGAGTGAAAATACGCAGATCTTGTGACACTCCATTTTCAGTTTTCATAAATACATTTCTTTATAGATTAATATGATATGAATTTTACCCGTGTCTGTTAAGAATCAAACAGATGTTTTCAGCAATTAGATTCTAACCTACTTAACAAATTTCATAAAAATCGTGTCACCTTTTGTCAGATGATTCAGCGTAATGCATGACACGCACTAGACGAGCATATGCACCTTTCTGCATTTTTGTTTGATTATATATATATATATATATATATATATATATATATATATATATATATATATATATATATATATATATATATATATATATATATATATATATATATATATCTATATATATATATATATATATATATATATATATATATATATATATATATATATATATATATATATATATACACACACATTTGTTTGCTTTGTGATTTTAATATGACATTTTCCAGGACTGTTTCATTAATATGTTTTAATTGGCTCATAGATCGTTCAGATAGTCTGGTGATTCATCAATGCTACATAGTTTGTGTATGATTCTTCCTCGTTTCTCATGTCTTGGTCTGATTTCCTGTTCGTTAGTCGAGTTTTTTTTGTCTTGATTATAGCTCTCTCCACAATCTTTCGTTTCTTGATAATAGCTGGCGTGGCTTCTATCATCACGATGTGTTCGCTTCTAGAATTCCATACGTTTAGCTCTATCACTCTGTCTAACTATTTATCTCCTCTTCATATCTACATAGATTTCTATTTTGTCCCTGTCTCTATTTTCTTTCTGTGTGAGTATGTATATTCATATATATATATATATATATATATATATATATATATATATATATATATATATATATATATATATATATATAACCACCCAGTTCCATGCGCTTCTACCATTTCATCTGTTATCGTCGGGATCCCTTTCATTTCTCGCCACCAGCGCCCTCTGCAAGGACCCCCCGGCGCCGCCACCCGTATAATGACCACCCTTTAGTCACCCCCG